GATATTAAGTCATTTTTGAAAATAACAAACAATGTGAAAAAAGTCAAACTAGAGGAGTATTTTCCAGACATAATACAGTTTATCGAGAAGGTAAAGATTTTTAGAAGTGAAAGTTGTTTCACTAATCAAGGTTTACCGTCTTAAGAAAATTATTACGAAATTAAGTAGTCAGTCAGGCGGGCCCAGTGAAAACAGCCAGAATGGGTAAATTGAGGCATCTTTTATGGCTTTGTTTCTTTTGCTCTCTTTCTTTATCCTTTATGGGGGAAATACATTTTGCTTCCTTGAATGTTAATGGAGCAAGGATTTTAAGAAGAGAGCTCAAGTTTTTGAATTAATGAAATATAAGAAAATTGATGTGTTGTTTTTACAAAGACACATACTGATGTATCAAATGCTGTAGACTGGGTAAAAGAATTTGATGGATTAGTGATTTAAGCCATCATACCTCATTGAGTGGTGGAGTTGCAGTGTTATTTTACTCCATACTCTTATAGTATAGAGGAAAAAATGAAAGGAAGGTTGCTGAAGATTAAAGCTGTATTTGAAATAGTTCTTTTGTTTTTGTCTGTGTATACGCTCCAACTATGGCATTGGAAAGAATGATATTTTTGAACACTTTGGATGATGTTTTAAATGAGTGTTATAATGATGATTTTTTTAATGTTAGGAGGGGATTTTAATTGTACTGAAAATGTCATAGATCGAAATCATGTTGAACCACACATGCAATCCAGAAAGAGGCTAATTCAACTGAAAAAGTCTCATAGCATAATTGATATATGGAGGAATTTCCATGGTATACAGAGACAGTACACTTGGGCTCATGCTCATGAAAATCAGTTATCGCTGGCAAGGCTTGATAGATTCTATGGATTTAAGCATCAATTAAGCATGTTTAGAGATGTTCAATAAGTCCGGTTTGTGTGTAGCAAAAAGTTTTGTCAAATCAAAAAGTGCTTATTGGCATTTTAACAATAATTTATTATCTGACTTTTTTTTAGAGAAGTTTTTAAAGAGTTCTGGACAAATGCTAAAGCTATGAAATCATCTTTCTTAACATTGCAGCAGTGGTGGGATTTTGTTAAAATACAAATCCAACAATTGTGTCAACAATATACTCACAACGCCACAAGAGACAAAAATACCTCAATGAGTATGTTAGAAGAAGAGTTGATGAAGCTACAAGAGCTTGCAGAGTCCACAAAAGATGCCACCCATATAGAGCACATAAAAAAGAAAAAAAAAATATTATCTGACATGCTAGGTTGTGCAACATAAGGTGCTATCATTAGATCCCGTTTTCAAAGTGCAGAATTAATGATGCTCCTTCTAAATTCTTTTTCAGTCTAGAAAAAAAAGAATGGACAGAAAAAGTTCATTCATGCCTTGCAGTCTTAAGAAGGGGATTTGTTGACAAATCCCTCAGATATTAGGAAGAGAGCTGTACTTTTTTATAAAGAGTTGTACAAAAGTGAAATTTCTGAAGAGCAAGCTGATAATTTGAATTTTTTTGAAAATTTACCTCAGATAACTAAAAATGCAAATGAGGAAATTAGTAAAACTTTGAGTTTAGTTGAGCTCAAAAATGCCCTTAAAATAATGGAAAATGGAAAAGCACCAGGTATTGATGGCATTACAACTGAATTTTATAAATCTTTTTGGGTAGAAATAGGTCGAGAATTATTAACAGTTTTTAATGAGAGTCGGGCAGATGGACAACTGCCTAGAAGCTGCCATAGAGCAATTATTACTTTATTGCCTAAAAAAGGAGATTTAAACGACATCAAAAATTGGAGACCAGTAAGTTTATTGTGTAATGACTATAAAATATTGTCTAAAGCTTTGGCAATCAGATTGGGGGAAGTCATTGAATCGATTATTCATCCAGATCAGTCATATTGCGTACCAGGAAGGAGAATCTTTGATAATGTTTCTTTTATCAGAGATATTTTTTACTGTGGAAAAATTTTTAACGTAGATTTTGGTATGATATCAATCGATCAAGAGAAGGCTTTCGACAGAGTCGAGCATATTTATTTATGGAGTGTTTTAAAAGCCTTTGGTTTTAGTTCGGAGTTTATTGAAGTGATTAAGATGATGTATTGTGGCGTTGACAGTATATTAAAGATTAATGGTGACTTATGCTCTCCATTTAGTGTCTACAGGGGTGTCAGACAAGGCTGTGCGCTGTCAGGCATGTTGTACACCTTAGCCATAGAACCCCTGTTAAATAAATTAAGATCTAATGTGTGTGGACTGTGTATGCCAAATTGTGCTACTGTTTTTAAGTTATCAGCATACGCTGATGATGTCATTGTCATAATCAGTGAACCCAACGATGTCAATGTGATGTTGAAGATTTTAGATGATTTTAAAACTCTTTCTTCAGCAAAGGTTAACTGGGAAAAAAGTGAAGCCATACTAGTTGGAAAATGGCCAAAAGGTGAACCAAGGGTTCCTGATGGACTAAACTGGACAAGAGATGGTTTTAAATATGTAGGAGTCTTTGTAGGAGATGAAAATGTTGTAAAAAAGAATTTTGAAGGCACTGTTGAAAAGATCAAAGGGCAACTGGATAAGTGGAGGTTTTCACTCCCAAAAATTCTTATAAAGGCAGAATTTTGATCATAAACAATCTGGTTGCCTCTGCACTTTTACACCGCCTAGCCTGTATAGATCCCCCAGTAGATGTACTGACGAAAATCCAGTCAATGTTAATCGATTTCTTCTGGGACAGAATGCACTGGGTATCAAAAAGTGTGTTGTATTTATCAAAAGACGAAGGAGGACTTGGGTTGATACACTTGCAGAGCAGAACGGCTGCATTTCGTCTGCAATACGTACAGAGACTTTTGAAGTGCTCCTCAGAGTCCAGTTGGATGGCGGCTGCCTGTGCGATCCTCCGGAATATCGAAGGGCTAGGACTGGACAAAACTTTATTCTGGTTGGACTCTCAAAGATTGAAAATATCTAATTGTCCAGTTTTTTATCGTATCTTATTAAAAGTTTGGTCACTGTTTAAGAAAAGTAGGGAAAGCAATGTTGCTTCTCTGTTTGGGCTACTTCGAGAACCATTGGTCGGTGGCTCACGTTTGGATTTATCACGTGAGTTTTCTTTTGCCATACCAGAAAGGACTTTGTGTAACACCAAGTTGACAGAAATTGGTCATCTACATCAAATAGCAGGACCTGCTTTTAGGAATGTGGCCGCGATTGCTGAGCATTTAGGACTCAAATCATGCCGTATAGTAGAAAAAGCACTTGAAAAGTGGAGATCGGCCCTCACTAAGGAAGAGACAGAACTACTGGATCATTACTCAGGGTTAATAAACCCTGATTGTAAAGACCCTTTTCCGAAGTTGGGTATTTCTCCCATTTTGGGAGAACACAACAGCATGTTTTTACATTGTAAAGAAATAATGATTGTGGGTTCAAATGTTGTACTTGGGAAAGAATTGTACAAGGTTTGTGTTTTTGATAAGAAATGTTTAGATAACAAGTGTGATACACCATGGCGAAATATACTTAATCTTGCTGTCGATGAAAAGCCAGAATGGAGAGCCTTGTATAAGTCACCATTAATCAAAAAAACTGGCGATTTACAGTGGAGTGTTACATGGTGCTATTGCAGTAAATGCATTCGTCTCCTTGACCAATTCTGAAGTGACTGAAGGCTGCCCTTTTTGTTTGGAAAAAGAGACTATTTTTCATGCTTTTATGCACTGTGGGAGGTTAAAACATTTATTTGATATTTTGAGAAAATTTTTTGATTCTTTTAATGAGGTTTTTTCAATGAAAGTGTTTATTTGTGGATTTAAATATGTGAAGAAATTTCGTCATAAGTGTCAATTGTTGAATTTCTTGATAGGTCAGGCAAAAATGGTGATTTATACCACAAGGAAAGAAAAAATTTAGCAAAATGTTTGTAACAGTTTGGTAGCAATTTTTATAAAATTAGTTAAATCTAGGATTTTGATTGATTATCATTATTATAGATTAATGCATGATTTTTTATCCTTTGAGGTAAGATGGTGTCTAAATAAGGTCCTTTGTGAAATTGTTGAAGAAGAGTTGCTGTTTTCTATCTTTTAAGATTTTTTATTGGTCTTTAAATTAATGATGTTGTTTAGCAGTTTGTAACAGTTATTGTGTATATTGTAATTAAAAAGGGTTTTGAAAATCAAATCAAATCTCTCTCTCTCTCTCTCTCTCTCTCTCTCTCTCACACACACCCCAACCGGTCGAGGCAGATGGCCGCCCACCCTGAGCCATGGTTCTGCTCGAGGTTTCTGCCTTTTAAAAGGAAGTTTTTCCTTGCCTCTGTCACCTAGTGCTTGCTCTTGGTGGGAACTGTTGGGCTTCTGTAAATGGCATCATAGAGTACGGTCTAGACCTGCTCTTTTATGAAAAGCGCTGTGAGATAACTGTTGTTGTGATTTGGCGCTATATAAATAAAATTGAATTGAATTGAATCATAAAATAGATATACAAAAGTAAAGATACTGGAAAGAAATAATTGGACATAATCAGGTACTAAGTATACAACACAAAATTAAAATAAGGCTGCACAGTAAATTGTTTATGCTTTGTCATCACAATGTGCCCTTGTGCAATAGTCACATCGCAGAACAATGCAATGTCAAGCAAGTCTAATTCACTGTTAAAAATCTGTGTACTGCATTACAACTCAAGAAGGGATTGTTCACACTAAAAAAAAAGGCTAAAAAGACATTTTTAAGCTTATTAATTTTTATTTCCCTACAAAATCACCTCAATAATTTTAGGATGCTTAATGCTTTTCAAATAGAGCAATCAAAGTCATCTGGTGAAAATTCCTGTATTTTCTTCCTGCATTATATATTGCACAAAAGAAAAAATTTGCAACGTAAATTTTTCCAGTATCGTGCAGTCCTAAATTAAAAATAGTGCCAATTATTTTCATTTTCAAATGGAAGGTTCTTGATAATGTATACTTTATTTGAGGGAATTTTGGCCATGTTACATTTTGTGAAAAGGAAGTTGAAGATGGTCCACCTCATAATAAAATGCAACCTTTCCTCTATTATGAAAATGAGAATTAAATTTGAACATCATCACAAGGATACGTTTTCCTCTCTGTATTCTAGAGGAAGTCAACTCACCTGTTCAGGATCTCATTTACAATTCCTACAAGTTGGTTCTGGTCCACATCAGCAGCCAAACTGTTTTCAGCAGACAGCAACAAACCCAGCGTTACAGCCATCCAGCACAGGCAAGCCATCTGAGTGTTTAACAAACAGCATCAGCAGGGAGGGTTAAAATAAGGGAAAAGAATGATAACAAGACTACAATACAATCTCAAAATGTATAATCTGCGATAGGTTGTTGCTTGTTAAACGTAATGTTCACCACATGCTGCCTGTACAGTATTTACACTAAATCTTACACATTAAAAACAACTTTTAGCAAGGCTACAGTAATGTTGAAAAATGTGTCAAATATTTTGCAGATTCTTGAGAAATATAGCAATAAATTTAAAAGTCAAACATTTAAAAACTGTTTCCCATACTCAATCTTCAACATATAGCATAAATCATTAGCATATTTCATTAGATTCACAGTCTAATCTCTTCTAGAGACGCAAAGCAGTCAATTGATCTCCACCTGGTGGTGAGTTGAGTCAGTTGGTGTAGAGTGTTTTTGGTCCAATTCCACACACAGTCAACGGAAAGACAGGATTAGAAAAGAATTCGCTCATGGTGGCTCAATTAAGTTCAAAATGATCACAGGTTTAGCAGAACATAATTCCATGTCCAGGTCAGGGGTCAGCAAAAAGTCAGGCATAGGGCCAATTGTTTTTTCAAGTCATTAGATGGCAGGCCAGAACATAGTAAATTTATAATTTATAATCCACTTTTTATTGTGTAAAGAGTAGATTAGCCACTGCTCACCCCTGGTCAGCCACTGCTCAACCCTCCATGGTAAAAGAAGCTTCGTTGGCCGGCACACTCTGTTGTCTCTTGTACTAAATATGTGTGTTCCTCCATTTGTCCAAGTTTCACATCTATTACTTTTAACCAACCAGACACTACTGCTACTACTTCTTTTCTTCTTCTCCTTTTCTTTGTACATATTCAACGTAATGACGAAACGCGCTCTGTAAAGCAGTTTGTGCATTTGGGCTACTGTAGAAACATGGCGGTGCAACGACTTCCATGTAAGCGGACCCGCGGTGTATGTAGATAAGACTCATTTTAAGGTAATAAAAACATAACGGTTCATTATGTAAAGTCTTTATACACCACTGAAAACATAGTTAAGAATATTATATTGCATTTCTGTCAATAGATCCTCCTAAATATTACACACTTTAAACTGAATGACTAAAGGCAGCGATGACTGATATTGTGGTGTCAAACTAATCGTTGATTGATACAATGTAAAACCTCATGGAGAAAAGATTTAGTAGTATTTACTGCTGAATTTACATTTAGGAATTTTGCCATTAGAATTAATGGGAAATGGGACCATCCAAAGAACACGGGAATGCACAGTGAGCAGTTCGTAGCAATTCGCAACCCTCACCACTAGATGTCACTAAAACTTACACACTGAACCTTTAACTTAAAACTTCAAATAACTCACCATTTACTTGGTTTCACGTGGGACTTGAACGCCATTCTCCTGTGGGAGAGTTCTGGGTTTGACCCATGAGTCCATCCCATCCACCTCCTTCTGAGAATTTTCTTACTATTACAGTATTTCTTATTATACAGTACATCATCCTACGTCCCTTGTTGCCATTGTACCACCACTAGAGGTCACTTTCTAACGTGCTTCTACAAACTACCTATTTTGTCATTTTTCTGGGGAGGACATGCTATTATTTGGTACATAGAGACAGACACGAACAGTGAAGCACTCAAATTTTCACTTTTTGTCTGAGTTCAGGGACTCTTTGAGCTAAATACTAATATTTTCAACATGCTTTCAGTTAATATTTATACAGCTCAACTTAATAAAGGAGGAGTGTTCTGCAGTGGTGGTTTTTGAAGTTTGTGATGCTGTAGGAAACCATTGTAACTGCTGTGGATCCAAACTCACTATAGCTACCACTGTCTACGAAGGAGCAAGAAATGAAAATGCTGTGCCATTTAAAATCTTTTTCAAGTCCCCTGGGGGAGAATTCTTACCTTCGCTGCTGCTGACAACAGGATCTTAAAACAGAAAAGACCAATAATAGAAGTAAAAATCTGTATCTCAATTTTATTTACAAGGTCACATTTACACATTTTACTTTTACGCTTATATATACTGTTCATACTGTTTGCAAATGTTATATCCAGAACACCTAGTACTCAACTCTCAGGGAGTGAGAGAATTCCCTCACTTTCAGTCAAAGTCAAAATCTTTTACCAACTTTAGAGGAGAAAGGCATCTATCAGATGCTATGCTTACTTTTCAGTGCAAGGTGCCGTCTCAGTGAATACTACGGAGCCCCTGAAGTCCCATAAGATGATTTTTTAAAATCTTTTGCGCACTTGTGGGAATAAGATAATTATCTTGTGCACACGAGTTATTATCGCACAAGATAATAACTAGCTGTAAGATGCTTTGGATAAAAGTGGTGTTAAGTGCCAGAGCCATGGAAATAGATTTTACAAGATCTTTAGATTTTAAATTTATTCGTTTTGGTGGGGCTTTTTATCCAAAGTGATTTACAATTGCTATTCATGCCAGAGATCGCACGCCTCTGGAGCAACTAGGGTTTAGTGTCTTGCTCAGGGACACAGCGGTGGACGTGTCATAGTGAGGATTTGAACTTCTCGCACGGCAATTCATGCGTCTTATCCACTGTTCCATCACCACCCAATAGGTCCAGTTTATTTGGATATATTCTATATTGTGCAGTTTAAATGTGGGGCTTTAACTAAATGTTTAGAGTGGCACCAATCCTTTTATGTAAAAATTCAAAAACATTCAAACTCTTTCACATAAAAATCAACGTCTTTGTGGATGTTTGATTGACTTTCCAACAAGAAATGTTAACAGTCACTTTAAACAGAGGCACAGGGCCAGTGGCCTCTCCGCCTGTACCCAGTAGGCTGGTTCACTAATACATTGTCCATTCTGCATGCATTAGTATGCATAATATGCATAATAATAATCAGTTCCCTCAGTCCATACACAGTAGGTGTGTATAGATACTGTATAGAATAATGTAAAGATCTTTAGATGACGGATCAGCCACGGCCACTCTCAGCTTCTGGAGGCTTAATGTGGTTTCATGAAGTTTTACATTAAACATTTGCTAATTGCATAAGCTGAGTTATGATTTTCACTTAAACTTGTTGCTACCTTCCTCTTTAAAATCAAGATGAAAACAGCCCAGGGAAGATTTTACCTTCTTTGTTGTAGAGAGCAGTCCACTTTTTCAGTTTTCTTCTCTTCTCAGTGTTAGGAGTGAAGGTGCTGCTGTAGTGAGTTCAGTCAGAAGGAATGGCTTCTTTTATAGAGGCAAGGTTGACCAAAGTCAAACCCTCAGAGTGGCACCATGCCCTTTTTTGAACACATTTTTCAAAAATCAGGAAGAAGGAAGAAGATAAGAGAGACATTCTGCAGTTTGATATAAGAAGTTAAAAATACTGCAGTAGGTCTTTTCTTGCAAAATGCATCTCAGATTCTACATCTGGACCAAAGGAAACCCAATGAGCACTAAATAATATTCACATTTTAATGCATCTTAATTGCCTTTGTATAACACCACTTTGGGCCAAGCAGTGAACACACAAATGCATAAATAAATGAATGCATAAAAATCTGCATTTCCAAAACTATATACATTCAAAGAGGCAACTATCATGCATATGCTTACAAAGGCACACTGACCAAGTACAGAGGAATATAAATCACTGATCAAAAGATCATGTCACTCCTGAACCAATCTGTCATGTTCAGCATTCAGGTGTAGTAAATTCAGTTGCAGTCAAGGTAAATCCTAAGTTTGACCCAACTTCATTAATAACATGGTGAGTTTTCCGTTTTTTTGACTCACCGTATTTGTAATAATGGCAGTGCTGATTTTTGGCCAGGAAGCAGAAAAACCTCACTGAGAGTCACTGAGAGTCACACATCTTCCACCACTGGCTTACAGACTTGTTGTGGCTAACATGCTGCTACAGTGGTGATCTGGTTTGATCTAATAACTAATAAAACATACAATTACGACAATAACAACAGCAACAGAGGCAGTATACTCTTAACATCCCCGCAAATCTATGTGACCTGCAACATCCAAAATAGAGTCTCACCCACCCTTGCTTGTGTTAGTTCGCTGATAGCTTAGTCATCAAGAGATAAACATATGTTGTAGACTTCTGCTTGGTGGATGACTAGTATACTCACATTAAAACTGTTCCTGTTTTCTTCTCACCTCGCCATCTCTTCATGAGAAAATATATACTTGGGGTCTAAGCTGACACATACGTAATAGTTCTCATGAAAGTTTAATGCTCCTACAGACTGGACCTTAGAAACCAGAACTTCTCAAATTCCAGACCAAGGTCAGAATCCGGACCAAACTACACATCATTCAAGATCAGACAGTGTGCCTTTCATAGCATAGATATTATGTGGTGATATACTGTATTTTTTAGTGTTTGAAGGAAGTTGAAGCTTTTACCAACTCAGTGATCAACTCTCACCATAGCATTAAGAAGCGGTCAGGTGGTCATATTCATGTTTCATGTGAACAACCGGGATGTGATTTTTCCGGATTAATCCGGAATTCCAGATTTTCGACCTGAAAATCTGACCCACGTGAATCATGCAGATCTGTAATTAAAAAAAATTTCCAAAACAGTTATATTATTAAAGTTACTAACCCAAGTAACGCTGTGCTACTGAATGCACCATCCCTGACGTGAATACAGGTGCACAGGTCAGCAGCCCCCCAGACTTTATGTTGTTCAAGTCAGCTGTTAGCCAAAAAGCTAAAGGAAGACTGGAGAACAGGAAGAGAGAGATATTTTTAACATCTGTAAGTAACGTTATTGCCATTATTGTGTCACAGTCTAAGATGCAAAGAACATTGTCGTCTGTTGTAAACTTTGTGCGACCAGTAAAAAGTTTTTGACCACGAACAATTCTACATTTATACTTAGGCTAATTGAAGCATCACGGCTTGGATCTTGAGACGTCCTGAACAGGAAGCAATTGTTTATTTCAAGTACAACATAGTTCACCGGATTCACTCGATTCACCACTGACCCAGTGGATAACACTGTGGGCTCACAGCAAGAATTCAATTCAAATAAATTTTATTTATATAAAATCACAACAACAGCTATCTCACAGCGCTTTTCATAAAAGAGCAGGTCTAGACCGTACTCTATGATGCTATTTACAGAAGCCCAACAGTTCCCACCAAGAGCAGCACTAGGCGACAGAGGCAAGGAAAAACTTCCTTTTAAGAGGCAGAAACCTCGAGCAGAACCATGGCTCAGGGTGGGCGGCCATCTGCCTCGACCGGTTGGGGTGTGTGTGTGAGAGAGAGAGAGAGAGAGAGAGAGAGAGAGAGAGAGAGAGAGAGAGAGAGAGAGAGAGAGAAGGCAGCCTACACAATATACACACAGAGGTACAGACAATAAAGGTGATGTTGTTATAGACTAAATGAAAAATGGTACAGATATTTATAGTAGTGTTAATGGTAACAGTCGTAATGTTAATGATTATAATAAAACAATAGTCGTTGCAGCAGAGGGTGTCGAGCAGGAACACGGGGGCAGCAGGTGACCCGCAGCCACAGATCCAGACTCCACAGCTCCAGAGCCAGAAAACCTGCAGGAAGTGATAGGAGAGAGGAGAGAGACGAGAAAGCACAAGACTACCAGAAAGGGGAGAAGTTGTGTTAGTAACATGCAATAATGGGATGATGTTGCATACAGAGGGAGAGAAAGTAGAGGAGAGAGGAGCTCAGTGCATCATAGGAAATCCCCCGGCAGTCTAGGCCTATAGCAGCATAACTAAGGGATGGTTCAGGACTCACCTGAGCCAGCCCTAACTATAAGCTTTATCAAAGAGGAAAGTCTTAAGCCTACTCTTAAATGTGGAGATGGTGACTGCCTCCTGAACCCAAACTGGAACCTGGTTCCACAGGAGAGGAGCATGATAGCTGAACGCTCTGGCTCCTAGTCTACTTTTGGAGACTCTAGGAACCACAAGTAACCCTGCATTCTGGGAGCGCAGTGCTCTGGTGGGGTAGTAAGGTTCTATGAGCTCTTTAAAATAAGATGGTGCCTGACCATTGAGAGCTTTGTAGGTAAGAAGAATCCTATTCTGGATTTTACTGGAAGCCAATGCAAAGTAGCTAAAACAGGAGAAATATGATCTCTTTTCCTGGTTCCTGTCAGAACATGTGCTGCAGCATTCTGGATCAGCTGAATGGTCTTAACGGACTTTTTCGAACAGCCTGATAATAAGGAATTGCAGTAATCCAGCCTAGAAGTAACAAATGCATGGACTAGTTTTTCTGCATCATTTTTAGACAGGATGTTCCTGATTTTCGAAATATTGCGTAGGTGAAAAAAGGCGGTCCTTGAAATTTGCTTAATGTGAGACTTAAACGAAATGTCCTGATCAAAGATTACTCCAAGATTCCTCACAGTGGGGCTGGAGGCCAGGGTGATGCCATCAAGGGAAATTATATCTTTAGATAATGCATCACGGAGGTGCTTAGGCCCCAGAACTGTAATGAGTTTAACATTACAGGTCATCCAGGTTTTAACATCCTGAAGGCACATTTGAAGTTTAGCTAACTGATGAGTTTCATCTGGTTTCATCGATAGATATAACTGAGTATCATCTGCATAACAATGAAAGTTTATGGAGTATTTCCTGATAATATTGCCTAAAGGAAGCATATATAAAGTGAAGAGGATTGGTCCGAGGACAGATACTTGAGGAACTCCATGACTAACTTTGGCATGCATGGAGGACTCATCATTAACATGTACAAAATGAAATCGATCTGATAAATAGGACTTAAACCAGCTTAGAGCGGTTCCTTTAATGCCAATGAAATGTTCCAGTCTCTGCAATAGGATCTGATGGTCAATGGTATCAAGAAGCACTAAGATCTAATAAAACCAGTACAGATCAGTCCTTTGTCTGATGCAATAAGGAGGTCGTCGTAATTTTCACCAGTGCTGTCTCTGTGCTATGATGAGCTCTAAATCCTGACTGAAAATCTGTTTAGCAACTGCTTTCTCCAGAACCTTGGAGAGAAATGGAAGGTTAGATATAGGTCTATAGTTGACTAAAACATCTGGATCAAGTTTGGGCTTTTTCAGAAGAGGTTTAATTACAGCTACTTTAAAGTACTGTGGTACATAGCCTGTTGATAGAGATAGATTGATCATATCTAGTATAGAGGTGCTGACTAAGGGTAAAATATCTTTAAGCAACCTAGTCGGAATGGGGTCTAAGAGGCAGGTTGATGGTTTAGATGAAGAAATTATTGAAGTTAGTTGGTAAAGATTGAGGGAAATAAAACAGTCTAAACATATATCTGGTTCTACAGCTGTTTCTAAGGTTCCTGAGTTAAGAGATAAGTTGGTGCCAGTTGAGGGCAGGTCTTGGTGAATTTTGTCTCTAATAGCTAGAATTTTATCGTTAAAGAAGCTCATGAAGTTGTAACAACTGAGAGCTATGAGAATACTTGGCTCAATAGAGCTGTGACTCTCTGTCAGCCTGGCTACAGTGCTGAAAGGAAACCTGGGTTGTTCCTATTTTACTCTATTAATGACGAGTAGTACGCTGCTCTGGCATTAAGGAGGGCCTTCCTATAAGTTTTAAGACTATCTTGCCAAATTAAACGAGAATTTTCCAGTTTGGTGGAACGCCAATTCCTCTCAAGTTTCCGCGATATTTGCTTTATTATTGCTTAATTTGCGAGTTTCAGTATTATACCATGGAGCTAACCGTCTTTGTTTTATTATTTTCTTTTTTAGAGGGGCTACAGAGTCGAGTGTCATTCGCAGCGAGCCTGCAGCCCTATCAACAAGATGATCGATTTGGGAGGGACTGAAATTAACATAGAAGTCCTCTGTTATTTTGTGACTTGATAATGAATTTAGAGCTAATGGATTCGCATCCTTAAAGTTAGCTACAGCACTATCAGACAGACATCTTGTATAGAAATTTTTGCCCAATGACGTGTAGTTCAGCAATACAAACTCAAAAGTTATCAAACAGTGGTCGGACAAAGAGGTATTCTGTGCACCACTGGAACACCACTAAATGTTAAATTTCAATACCATACACCAAAACAAGGTCGAGGGTGTGGTTAAAACAGTGAGTCGGTTCATGAACACTCTGAGAGAAGCCAATGGAATCTAACAGTGAGATAAACGCAGTACTAAAGCTGTCATTCTCAACATCCACATGAATATTAAAATCCCCTGCAATAATAACTTTGTCCGTTTTAAGGACTAAAGTTGACAAAAACTCCATAAATTCAGATAAGAATTCAGAGTACGGGCCAGGTGCTCGGTACACTATAACGAAGAGAATTGGTTGCAGTGATTTCCAACTTGGGTGCGAAAAACCAAGAACAAGGTCTTCAAATTAGCTATAATTTAGTTTAGGTTTAGAGCTGATTAGCAGGCTAGAGTCGAAGATAGCTGCAACTCCACCTCCTCGGCCTGTGCCTCGAGGAATGTGAATATTAATATGACTGGGAGGGGTGGATTCATTTAGGCTAACATATTCTCCATCACCCAGCCAGGTTTCAGTAAGACAAAATAAATCAATATCACAATCTGATATTAGTTCATTTACTAGTTAACCTTTAGAAGAGAGAGATCTGATGTTTAAGAGTCCATATTTAACTCTCCTATTCGTTTGCACTATTGCTATCTTGTGGTTTTAATTTTTATGAGGTTTTTATGCACAGCTCCTCTTCTGTTTACCTTTTTAAATAATTTCGATGGTCGGGGGACAGACACCGTCAATATAGGATTTTCACTAAGTAACTCCTGAAATGGAGGAGCAGAGAAGTGTGTTAGACTGCGACTCTGCGTGGGGTTTTGGGTGGGTAACTGCTGATTTAGAAGGGCAGAGAAGTGTGTGTTAGACTGCGACTCTGCCTCCTGGTCTCAACTCTGGGTGTCATGGATTTGGTCCACTAATAAACTTGGCCAGATTTTTAGAAATGAGAGCTGCTCCTTCCCAAGTGGGATGGATGCCATCTCTCCGGATCAGACCAGGTCTTCCCCAGAAAGTCTGCCAATGATCAACAAAGCCCCACATCGTTTGCTGGACACCACCTCGACAACCAGCGGCGGAATGACGACATGCGGCTATACATGTCATCACTGGTCAGATTTGGCAGGGGTCCAGAGAAAACTACGGTGTTCCGACATTGTTTTTGCATATGTACACACCGACTCAACATTAATCTTAGTGACCTCCGATTGGCGTAACTGGGAGTCATTACCGCCGACGTGAATAACAATCTTACTGTATTTACGTTTATCCTTAGCCTTCAAATAAGACTCAATGTCGCCCGCTCTGGCCCCAGGGATGCACTTAACTATGGCCGCTGGCTTCACTAACTTCACGTTTAACCTTAGGGTTATCTAAAGCTGCAGCCCAATCCTCGGTTCTTATCCTTCTTGACCTATCAGCTGCCTTTGACACAGTCAATCACAGGATCCTTCTATCCACACTCTCAGCAATGGGCTTCATGGGTAAAGCACACCTGTGGTTTGAATCCTACCTCTCGGGATGTTCCTACAATGATTTGTGGCAAGGACAATTGTCCTCCTCCCACTGCCTCTTCTCAGGGGTGCCCCAAGCCTCAGTGCTAGGGCCCCTTCTCGTCTCAATTTACACCACGTCACTTGGGCCGATCATTCGCTTGCATGGCTTCTCATACCACTGCTATGCAGACAATATGCAACTCTACCTTTCCTTCCCACCAGACGACCCCGCATCTCAGTGCGGATCACGGACTGTCTCTTGGACATACAAACTGAGTCCTCAACCACCACTCCAACCAGGATGGTGAGAAACTTGGGTGTCATGGTTGATAACCGGCTGTCCTTTTCAGACCATTTGGCTGCTGTCTCTTGGTCGTGCCGCTTTCCTCCATACAACATCAGAAAAATCAGGCCCTACCTCAGGATGCCACCCAGCTTCTGGTACAGGCCATGGTTATCTCTCGCCTCGACTATTCCAATGTCCTCCTAGCAGGTCTTCTAGCTTGTGCGGTGAAACCTCTACAAAAAGTTCAGAACACAGCAGCGTATCTGTAATATAAATAAATAATTAGACTTGTAGCCTATTTAATGAGACAAGCGCACTGCTCTTCACCAGAGAAAGAAAACCGAAACTGAAAACATTTGTGATCAGACAGAATCCGCATCAGCATCCTGGAGACAATGAAACAGTGAGGGGGACAGAGACAGCAGCACACAGAGGACAGGTCAGGTGTCATGATATTGTCTTACTACTGTGTGGCGACTGTCAACTGTTTATGTTAATACATTGACACACTCATAGACACTGACCGACAACTAGTGATGTGCGATACCACTTAATTCCTGTCCGATCCAATACCAAGTAATAACCAAGCTGGTATTGCCGATACCAATACCAATACTTTTTACATATTTTATTTCTAGTTTAATGTGACCTCCCCTCTCCCGTTTCTGTATTTATGAGGGAAATAAAGAGTAAGCTGTAGCCTTACCAATTCAAAATAATAGCTGCATAATGACAATCAAACTACTGTAATATTCTTTAATTATAATAAAAAACATCCTGCTCAGACCTGCAGCTTCATAACATCATTATTATTTTGACTTAATCTCTGATGTTTAGCGAAGTTTGCAGTGTTGCCAAGATATTTCACTGTCTTTCCAAACACATCACACAGAGCAACATTATTACCTTCACAGCTAAAATACAGCCAGACGTGACTGCTTTTACAGTCGGCCATAGTCAGTATTAAATCAGCGATATACTTCAAAGAAGCTCCGTCACAGAGCAAAGCATGACTTTGATAGGAACTACTTTTCCTTATGCCTATCAACCGAACTAGACCATCCTGGTGACAGTAAGATACTTATGATAAAACACGCACACACTCCAAATGACTGAGATGAGTTTAGATATTGATCCTTTTATATGAGTATTGATCCTAGAGAAGGAAACGTTGGTATCAGAAATATCGATATTTTATGATCGATCCGCACATCACTATCAACAACATTTATATTTAAATGTAAGCTATTGATTACAATTTTGCTAGAGACAATTCAGAAGTCGCGGACAAGCCCTGAAGCTGTGAGCATTGCGCTGTCTCTCACTCTATCTTTTTCTCCTCTCGTGCTTACTCGCAGGCAGTAAGTAACAGCGGGGTCACGTTACATGAACTTCAAACAAAATGTAGCAATATTATTGCAAGTAGCCTCCGCTCTTATCCCTTATCCCGTATCCCCTTAGCTCTTATCCGCTGCATATTAACATTGAAAATATTTTTGTTGCTTTTGTTGAGTTACATTCGGGGCTACAGTCAAAAGATTACCTGGCGACGCCGTTGTGATACTAACGAGTGTACAGTAACGAGGCTGCTCTCTGGACCACATCTCCCTGCCACTGTTAATCAGTGGACTTGAAGGCTTAGTTTAATGATGATGTTTAAAGTTGGTTGTTCTTTTACTAAATGACACACAGACAGACCAAAATGGATGCTGAGCCACGTTTTAATCAGAAAACAGAGAAATGATTTACAAGAACATAGAGTACAATTATATGAGTCAATGCTGAGGATAATTAAGCCAAATCCTCTCTTTATTTCAGGTTCAAATACAAAAATCTTAAGTTTAACAAAACTGTAAATTGATGTGTGCTAAATAACAAATGTGAGCATGCTAATAGGCTAAACTAACATGGGGAACATGGCACACATGACACCATCTGCCTTAGTCAAGGTACCGCTGTGGATCTTTTTCTCCTGTTCAAATAAATCAGTTTCACCTGAATTCACAGCTCTCATAGAACTTAACTACCCTTTCCCACCCCTTCATCTGCCCCAGCGCCGTCCTCCACCTCCTCTACGTTTTGCCCCTCGTCCTTGCCTGCCCATCCCTCTCCTATTTCCTCCTGTGCGCCTGCTCATTCCTCTCCTATTACCTCCTGTGCGCCTGCTCATTCCTCTCCCATTTCCTCCTTTGCGCCTGCCCATCCCTCTCCTATTTCCCCCAGTGCGCCTGCTCATTCCTCTCCTATTTCCCCCAGTGCGCCTGCTCATTCCTCTCCTATTTCCCCCATTGCGCCTGCTCATTCCTCTCCTATTTCCCCCAGTGCGCCTGCTCATTCCTCTCCTATTTCCTCCTGTGCGCCTGCTCATTCCTCTCCTATTTCCCCCAGAGCGCCTGCTCATTCCTCTCCCTTTTCCTCCTTTGCCCCTGCTCATTCCTCTCCCATTTCCTCCTTTGCGCCTGCTCATTCCTCTCCTATTTCCTCCTGTGCGCCTGCTCATTCCTCTCCCATTTCCTCCTTTGCGCCTGCTCATTCCTCTCCTATTTCCTCCTGTGCGCCTGCTCATTCCTCTCCTATTTCCTCCTGTGCGCCTGCTCATTCCTCTCCTATTTCCTCCTGTGCGCCTGCTCATTCCTCTCCCTTTTCCTCCTTTGCCCCTGCTCATTCCTCTCCCTTTTCCTCCTTTGCGTTTACTAATTCCTTTGCCTTTTCCTCCTTTGCGTTTCCTCATTCCTCTCCTATTTCCTCCTTTGCGTCTACTCATTCCTCTCCCTTTTCCTCCTTTGCCCCTGCTCATTCCTCTCCCTTTTCCTCCTTTGCGTTTACTCATTCCTCTCCCTTTTCCTCCTTTGCGTCTACTCATTCCTCTCCCTTTTCCTCCTTTGCGTTTACTAATTCCTTTGCCTTTTCCTCCTTTGCGTTTCCTCATTCCTCTCCTATTTCCTCCTTTGCGTCTACTCATTCCTCTCCCTTTTCCTTCTTTGCCCTGCTCATTCCTCTCCCTTTCCTCCTTTGCGTTTCCTCATTCCTCTCCTATTTCCTCCTTTGCGTCTACTCATTCCTCTCCCTTTTCCTCCTTTGCCCCTGCTCATTCCTCTCCCTTTTCCTCCTTTGCGTTTCCTCATTCCTCTCCTATTTCCTCCTTTGCGTCTACTCATTCCTCTCCCTTTTCCTCCTTTGGCCCTGCTCATTCCTCTCCCTTTTCCTCCTTTGCCCCTGCTCATTCCTCTCCCTTTTCCTCCTTTGCGTTTCCTCATTCCTCTCCCTTTTCCTCCTTTACGTTTGCTCATTCCTCTCACTTTTCCTCCTTTGCGTTTACTAATTCCTCTCCCTTTTCCTCCTTTGCGTTTCTTCACTCCTCTCCCTTTTCCTCCTTTACGTTTGCTCATTCCTCTCCCTTTTCCTCCTTTACGTTTGCTCATTCCTCTCCCTTTTCCTCCTTTGCGTTTCCTCATTCCCCTCCCTTTTCCTCCTTTGCGTTTCCTCATTCCTCTCCCTTTTCCTCCTTTGCCCCTGCTCATTCCTCTCCCTTTTCCTCCTTTGCGTTTACTAATTCCTCTCCCTTTTCCTCCTTTGCGTTTCCTCATTCCTCTCCCTTTTCCTCCTTTACGTTTTCTCATTCCTTTGCCTTTTCCTCCTTTGCGTTTGCTCATTCCTCTCCCTTTTCCTCCTTTACGTTTTCTCATTCCTTTGCCTTTTCCTCCTTTGCGTTTCCTCATTCCTCTCCCTTTTCCACCTTTACGTTTTCTCATTCCTTTGCCTTTTCCTCCTTTGCGTTTGCTCATTCCTCTCCCTTTTCCTCCTTTGCGTTTCCTCATTCCTTTGCCTTTTCCTCCTTTGCGTTTCCTCATTCCTCTCCCTTTTCCTCCTTTACGTTTTCTCATTCCTTTGCCTTTTCCTCCTTTGCGTTTCCTCATTCCTTTGCCTTTTCCTCCTTTGCGTTTCCTCATTCCTCTGCCTTTTCCTCCTTTGCGTTTCCTCATTCCTCTGCCTTTTCCTCCTTTGCGTTTGCTCATTCCGCTGCCTTTTCCTCTGTTGCTCCTCTCCTCTTTTGTGTTTTTACTAATGCTACTGCCACTTGGTTTTCTGCCACCTGTTTTAAAATCAAAATTTCCATTGCCATAATCTTCATCTGTTTGTGATGGGGAGACAATTTCACCTGTATCAGAACCATAATTTCCATTATTGCTATCAAGCCCACTTTGGGAGGAGGACACACCTACTTCATTTAAATTATTTCCATTGCCATAATTAGGACCTGTTTGTGATGGGGAGACACTTTCACCTGTATTAGAACCAGCATTTCCATTATTGCTACCAAGCCCACTTTGGACAGATACAACACCTCCTACATTTAAATTATTTCCATTGCCATAATTAGGACCTGTTTGTGATGGGGAGACACTTTCACCTGTATTAGAACCAGCATTTCCATTATTGCTACCAAGCCCACTTTGGACAGATACAACACCTCCTACATTTAAATTATTTCCATTTTCATAATTAGGACCTGTTTGTGATGGGGAGACACTTTCACCTGTATTAGAACCAGCATTTCCATTATTGCTACCAAGCCCACTTTGGACAGATACAACACCTCCTACATTTAAATTATTTCCATTGCCATAATTAGGACCTGTTTGTGATGGGGAGACACTTTCACCTGTATTAGAACCAACATTTCCATTATTGCTACCAAGCCCACTTTGGACAGATACAACACCTCCTACATTTAAATTATTTCCATTGCCATAATTAGGACCTGTTTGTGATGGGGAGACACTTTCACCTGTATTAGAACCAGCATTTCCATTATTGCTACCAAGCCCACTTTGGACAGATACAACACCTCCCACATTTAAATTATTTCCATTGCCATAATTAGGACCTGTTTGTGATGGGGAGACACTTTCACCTGTATTAGAACCAGCATTTCCATTATTGCTACCAAGCCCACTTTGGACAGATACAACACCTCCTACATTTATATTATTACCATTGCCATAATTAGGACCCGCTGGTGATGGGGTGACACTTTCACCTGTATCAGACTCATCATTTCCATTATTGCTATCAAGCCCACTTTGGGAGGAGGTCACACCTCCCACATTTAAATTATTTCCATTGTTAAGAATAGGACCCGCTGGTGATGGGGAGACACTTTCACCTGTATCAGACTCATCATTTCCATTATTGCTATCAAGCCCACTTTGGGAGGAGGTCACACCTCCCACATTTAAATTATTTCCATTGTTAAGAATAGGACCCGCTGGTGATGGGGAGACACTTTCACCTGTATCCGACTCATCATTTCCATTATTGCTATCAAGCCCACTTTGGGAGGAGGTCACACCTCCCACATTTAAATTATTTCCATTGTCATTAATGGTACCCGCTGGTGATGGCGAGACGCTTTCACCTGTATCAGACTCATCATTTCCATTATTGCTATCAAGCCCACTTTGGGAGGAGGACACAACTTCTGCTATATTTGTGGGGGAAGGTTGTGGTTCCTCTGAATAACAATAGGTTGTAACTTGTTTACCGCTAGAGCAGCTTGTGCACTGCATTTCATCTCCTGTGCAACGGAATATATTGCTCAGACCAACTGACTGCCCAAGCCGCTCAACGGATCCACGTGGGTCACCATCACTGGGCTTAAATACATTTGAAAACACAATAGCATATTTATTCCACTGCTGAATCATTTTGATGCTGTTGAGAATGTTATAGGGACTAGATTCATTTGTACATCTTTGATCACACGGGGAAGCAAGAACGTAGAAAAGCAACAAATCATTTTGTCATGATTGCTGACCAAGGTGGTAAAGTTTTGTAGAATACGGTACTCTGCATGATCCGCTCTACCATCTTCAATTTCTGTGGGACAGTTTTTTTTAACATCAGCCCACGTTTGACCACATTTTGTTGGAAGATCAGACCATTGCACACGTCCCTCAGGACACTGATCCACAACACTGGGCCATCTCAGAACTGTAGCTGCGACCATCCTCTTACTGGTGTACACTTCACATTTCTTCAAAATACTTTGCCAGACTTGTTCACGAGTGTCAGTGACTTGACTGATGTTATATATTTTCCTGTCACTGTCGTATGGGATGCTTACAGCCAGACTGAACATGGGTTCTCTTCTGTCAGAGGAAACAGATACACAAAATGTAAAGCAGGTGTCATTTAAAACAGTAAACTTTAGACTAAAGACACATGTTAATCAGGACATCTGTTATTTGAACATGAAATAGAAGAAACTGAAAGTTAAACTCTTTGTCTTGAACTTTATGTTATTTCTTGACTTAAAAAGTGGGTGTATGGAAAATCATCAGTGACATGTGATGTATAATGTAGCATTTGTTCTGTCAGTCTCAGTGTGTGTTTTTTCTATTCAACGTTTGCGTCTTTTAAAAAAAAAAAATTCTCTGCTAAAAAGCACATTGTAACTATCGTGTTGAAAAGTGTACATTAGTAGTGTCTATGTTATCACTGACCTTTGACCGTTGCTGCCCGTGTAGCTTGGTCTATACCTGCCAAAGGAAACAGACAAAATGTTACTGGTATGTTTGATCAGTTGATACAGAACAGAAGTTCATAAAGTTTAATAGATAGAAGGCTGGATATTAGAAAAAGATCAACACACAACAGCCCAGTGTTTTGTATTAAAGTGTGTAAATATAAATGTATTCGATAAGCCCAATTCAGTATCCTCAAATCTTTTTTGAAATGGAATTGCAAAGTCAACTTGACTACAGTTTGTTCTGTCCGCTGGATATTTTGTTATTTTAAACTGGGATTGTGTTTTTTTAATCTGATAATACATAAGCAGATGTTAAATATATCATCAATAAAAAAAATATTTATTAACTAAACTAAAACAGATCTTACAGCAAAGGTCCAGAAGTCATGTGCTTATACAACGAACCTCTACTTAGTAAAAAAGAAAAGAAAGGAAACAAAATACAAAACTAATGAATACAACATTTAGCAAAATACAAGAGTTCACTAAATCAGCAGGGAAAAGTAAAAAAATATACATGTAAAATTAAAGACAGAATTGAATAAACTATTTCATCATAAATTAAAAGTTGTAGCAGAGAGGGGTAGGAGAGTGGCAGAGTGGGCCTTTTGCTTTTTATTAAGGGTGTGGTTTGAGCAGGAGGTGAAAAATTAGGCACCTGTGGGGAACGGAAGGACAAACATTTTGACAACAATTTTAACATCAGCGTTGGTTTCCATGGTTGTTTGTTTACCGTTCTTCTTCTTCTTATTATTATTATTATTAATAATAAAGGGTTAGGGTCGCGCACTTGACTTGACAGTGGGACAGCCCAAAACCCTCACAGATTTCCTGGGAATGCGCCTGAAAGTCTGTGAGTATGTGAGTGTGGACATTGGGAATTGGCCTTCTTGTAACTCTCCAGGCTACTCTATCCTCCTGCCCAGCTATATGTAGGACCTTACCGTCTGCCCTGCACCCACACACCCCTACACCCTTAATCACCTCTCAGTGGAACTCAGTTGAACTGGATTACACACACACACTCATCCCTCTCACACCAGAACTCAAATGAACTAAACTGAACTGCTACCGCCATCTGTTTCTTTGTCATTTGGATTTGGTGACATTTAATTTTGTATATGAATTATATATTTTGAAAGATTCTTTATCGCTTTAAGGGGAATGTAAGATTTTGTGTTTGAGCACCAAGCATATGGTGCATTATTGTTTGTTTTTGAATAAAACCAGCTTTATTTGGATAAATTGAATTAGTGGTGGTTTCCTTTTATTGGTGTATGTTTGTAGCAAAGGTAGCTAGTGATCTGCGCTATCAAATATCCTACTAATTAACCGTTTCCCATTTTAAGTGATAGATTAGGATTGAGGTTATTCTCCCTTATAGCCCAACCTATTTTGGATATTTTGATAAATGTGGTGATAATTTTTAAAAACATTTTAAAAAGATAGCAATCTCTTAATGTATACTTTTATTTGAGGGAATTTCAACTGAAGTAAACCGACCTGTTCAAGATTTCTTTTACAATTCCTGCAAGTTGGTTCTGGTCCACATCAGCCAAACTGTTTCCAGCAGACAGGAACAAACCCAGCGTTACAGCCATCCAGTACAGGACAGCCATCTGAGAGTGATAGACAAACAGCATCAGCAGAGAGGATTAGAATCAGGGATAAGAATTATAACAACACTAAATACATTACAATTTCAAAATATATTATCTGCAACAGGTTG